TCTGTATTTTCAAAAATAACTCTGGCTACCAACTCCCCACAATGAATATAATCATTATGTACTACAAATAAGTACTAATACAAATTTTAAGTGTTTTAAAAATAAAGTGCCAGGCGTGGTGGTGGACACCTATAATCCCAGCACTTGGGAGGCTGAGGCAAGAGGATCGCTGCAAGTTAGAGGCTAGCCTGGGCTACACAGTGAGTTCAAGGCCAGCCTGCACTACATAGCAAGATCCTGTCGCAAAAAAAAAAATTCTCCAGCTGGGGACCATAAAGAGAATTACAAGAGGCATAGAGAATAAGTAAAGTTAATTGCTATGGTCTGAATGTTGGGCCCCCTGCCTGGTTCATGTTGGAACCTCATGCCCAATGTGATGGTAGGAACAGGTGGGGGCTCTTAGGAGGCGATTAGGCCATAAGGGCTCTTGAACTCTGAATGAGAGTAGTGCCTGTTATGGTTTGGGTTTAGATGTCCCCCAAAGCCTCATCCAGATGAGGCAGGACTTTCTTTTTCAGAGGTAGATGAATCTAGAATGTGTGATGCTGGGGTTAAGGGCCTGTGATTACTAAACCACCAAGCATGAGCGATTAGTTTGGTACCACCCTAATCCCAATAGTCTGAATAAGATAAAAGGGGCAGAAAGATGCATTAAACTCCCTTGTTACCTTTGCTAACTTCTGTTGTGTCATGTTGTTTCTGCTCTGCTATGCCTGTTTGTCATCCCTGCCTTGGAGTCCACCGATAATGGACTGAAACCTCTACAAACTCTAAGCCAAATAAACTCCTTCCCCTCTAACTTTGGATGTCAGGAATTTTGTCTCAGCAATGAGAGAAAAGTAACACAGTGCCCTTATGAGAGGCTTGAAACCAAGCATGGTGGCACATCCCTGAAACCCCAGGACTCTGGGAGGCTAAGGCAGGAAGGTAGCAAGTTTAAGCCCAGCATGGGCAACTTAGCAAGACCCTCTCTTAAAATTAAAAAAAAAAAATTAAAAAGGGCTGGAGATGTAGCTCAGTGTGAAAGCCCTGGATTCAATCTGTAGTGCTGCAAGCCAATAATAATAATAATAATAATAATAATAACAATAACAGGCTTGAAGAAGCCTGTTTGCCTCTTCTGCCATGGGGGGATACAGCAAGGTGGCATCTTTAAATCAGGAACAGCTGTCCCGGTCACCATATTGACAGGGGTGTGCTAATCTTAGACTTCTCAGCCCCTATAAGTGTAAGCAAAAACTGTGTTGTTCATTAATCACCCAGTCTAAGGTATTTTATTGTAATAACTGGACTGGACTAAGACAGTGACTACAGACCACTCTTTAAGCAACAATGATTTGAGTGCTAATAAAAACTACCATTTTCAAGGATTTTCTTTTGGGAATTATACAATCACATTGATTAACAAAGAAACAGACTTAATTAGACTAATGTTGACTGCTACATGTTGACTAAATGGGAGTCTGTGTGCTTCATACTGTGCACACAGTTTCATTTTTCCTTGAACCTCCTACACAAAGCAGAGCCCCAAGAACACCTCTGGACTGACTATTCCTGGGGTTAGCAGGCCATTTTTTCCTCCTCTCCCTCAGTCTTCAAATGCAAAAAGTACAGGTTACTACTGCTACTCTCTATCAAGAGCCCTCAATACTGACCACACTTTAGAATCCTTTAAAAATGATGAAAAGGCCAGGCATAGTGATACATGCCAATAATCCCAGTGGTCAGGAGGCTGAGGCAGGAGGATTCCCACACGTTTGAGGCCTGGGCTACATAATGGATTCAAGGCCAGCCTGAGCTACAAAATGAGACCTTGTCTCGAAAGAAAAGAAAAGAAGGAAAGAAAGAAGGAAAGAAAGAAAGGAAAGAAAGGAAAGAAAGGAAAGAAAGAAAGAAAGAAAGAAAGATGGATGAAACTTAAAAATCCCCCAAACCCAAACCTATTGTATCAGAATGTATGGTGTGGCACAGGTATTCTTTATAGCTCCTCAAATGATTCCCATGGACAGCGAAGTCTGAGAACCACCATTTTTGGGAAACGTCCAAGTATGTAGAGACCAGCCTTCACTTAACTTCCTTATGGTCACAGAATCCAAGATTGATTTTTTTTTTGGTGGAACCGGGGATCGAACTCAGGACCTTGAGCTTGCCAGGTAGGCGCAGCACCACTGAGCTACATCCCTGGCCCCTAAGACCGATTTTAAAGATAAGAGTTAGATCTACCAAAAGGAAGCACCCTATGAATAAATACTACTCTAGAGATGCTCATTATATATAATTCTCTGCATTATTGCTTAAATCAGTAAATGCTCTTTATTGGAATTTTAATAGTTTTCCAGCTCCTATTAAAGTGTACTACAAATGTCACTATGTTTCAGAATATTCAAAATCAAAAGAAACAAAGTGTATAGACTTGGTGAACATAATTCTAACATGTAAAATCTACCTCCTTGCCTACTCAGAAATATGATCAGCTGTTTCACAGAAATTTCCAGTAAGAGACAGAAACATTCAGCTTCTTGTAAGTAAAAATAGCCAGTAACATCCAGTTGATTTTGCCGAAAATAAATGAGTGACTACAGGCAAATATAAAGCTAAAATGGGTTGCCTTGAAAACACTTTAAAATATGACTAAAGGATTAGGAAAAGGGGACATTAAAAAGAACTAAGATGTGTCACGTACATGTGTACATGTACCAAATATCTACAATGAAAGTAGTCATTATGTATTGCAAACATGTACTAATACTTTTTTTTGATACCAGGGATCAAACTCAGGACCTTGCGCTTGCAAGACAGGTTCGGGTGCCACTGAGCCAAATCCCCAGCCCCAATAAACACATTTTTAAAAATATGACTAAAATTGGCCCCTGCTAGAATTAATCTGCTTTTTTTTTTTTTTTTTGGTACAGGGGATGGAACTCAGATCCTTGCACTTGCACAGCAGGCGGCGAAACCACTGAGCTAAATTCCCGGCCCAATCTGCTTTTGATCAAGAGAAACATCTTGTAGTTCTGTCCCTATCTCCAGTCACATCTGCTTTCACATATATACAAATCCACAAGTCCCATCTAGAAAGAGATTTTTAACTTTCTTACAGCCCATACAGATAATCTAATCACACCAGCAGAGGTTATGTTTCTCTTGTGATTCGATACCAAATGGCTCTGATGTAGAAAAAGTTCATGATGTTTGTTTTTTTTTTAATTTGTGTCCTTTAAATGGGGAAAATATATCATGTAATGGTACAAATTCCCAATTATGAGTGTCATCATATTATATACCTAAAATGTACCAATAAACTTAATGAATAAAAAAAATTTATGTCCTTTGCTGGTTTAATATTAAGTCACAAAGCACTTATGAAACTGCCACTCAAGATTTGTTCTATACGTGATCAATACAATAGAAATCACACACCTGAAAAATGCTTCAGAACTCTTCTTTTTAAAGAAGTGCCAGTAGAACACATGAACAGAAGGAGGAAAGTAAGGGAGTACATGCTGGATTATTTTGTTATTGCAGATGCTGGTGTTTTTTTTTTGGTACCAGGGATCGAACTCGGGACCTTGCACTTGCAAGGCAGGCGGCAAAACCACTGAGCTAGATCCCCGGCCTGCAGACGCTGTTTACTTTGAAAACATTCTACAGTTTTCAAAGTTTTTGAATTAGGGTTGTATATAAACTTCAATACCCCATCTATCAATAGATTAAGTTTCTGTGGAAAGCTACTATTCTTGTACCTTTCGCTGGCTGCCTTCTGGATCTCTGGTTTACAGGTAAAACCCAGATGGTGCGTGAGTAGGTAATCTGGGGAGGGTGAGAGCTCTGCCCAACCTGAAGGTGAGGAAGGATGTTTCACAAGCAAGCAAGGTCCTATACCTTCTGCAGTCTAAGTATCTGTGCCAGGTCAGTAAAGTAACAGCTACTTATGCAATTGCAATTTAACTGTTCAAATCATAACATCTTCCAAAATGTTTCCTTCCTTCTAGTCATATATTAAATTCTAGCCTGACCAAGGATACAAGGTGTAATGATATGTTGTCTTAGCCTCCCAACTAAAATTGTTTTATTTTTATTCCAAAGGTTGAAGAAACACACAGATAGCAACTGAATGAGGGTAAATCCCAACAGTTTTCTTGGAGAATAAAACAAAACTCACTTGTGGAGAAGAATAACTACTATTTGAACAAATGTAAATAAGAAACTGTAGAATATTTTCAAAATACACTATAAAAAAAACCCTCATCCTAATCTTGTAAGATTCATTTTTAATTTAGTTTAACTATATAGATAAATCACATATAACCAAAAGGCTTTATTACTGATACATTTTATAAGATCTGTTAGAGTTAGCATGTCTCAAATTTGCCAACAGTAACCAGCTTTTTTATTTTTTAATAAAAAAGACAAAATTCTCTCTCTTACCAGTTGTAGTTGGCACCTGTAATCTCAGCACTCTGGGAAGCTGCAGCAGGAGGATCACAAGTTCAAGCTCAGCATAGGCAACTTACCCACTTAGCAAGACATTGTCTCAAAATTTAAAAAAAAAATTTTTTTTTAAGAAGCCAAAGATGTAGATCAGTGTGAAGGGTTCAATCCCTAATATTGGAAGAGGAGTTCTCTGAATTACGGAAATCCTAGGTGATGAGGTTTTTACTGTCTGCATGCACCAACATATGGTGAACTATCCATGGGAATAATTGTTAGGGAGAAGCAATCAGCTCCCTGGACCTTTGAGATTTCCCCAAGAACAGAGCAAGGATGACAAGCTGGAAGTCTCCCATATGTCCATCCAAGAGAAGGTGCACACTGGACAGTAAAACCTGATGAAGAACACCTTTTGGCTAGTCATCAGGTCAGGAGTCAAATGTACAACCTTAGGCGGCCGGTACCGCCCTCAGGTGCTGCTCCTACTCTCGGGTAAGTGGGGAGACGCAGCCCTGGACTGGCAGAGGAGGGCAGAGAGGGGAAGGGGCGATCTCGGGTGAGCCACTTACGAGATGTAGGCTGGGTAGCCAAATCCTATCAGGTTGCAGAGGAGAGAGGCTCCATAACCAAACACCAGGTACAAGGCCAACAGCCCGATGACACCTGGAGACAAGAGAGCAGAAGTGGGTCGGGGGCCCGAGGGGCTTGCGGGAGCCCCGCCCACCCGCGGGCTCGGCCTGTCCGGGCGTTTTCCTCCCCACTCGACTAAAGAGAAAAACAAACCACTGGGAGGCTGGGCCTGCGCCTCCGCGGGGCGTCGCCGCGGTTCTGGGGAGACCACAGTCTCCACCTTGTGCCTTCTCCGGGGAGTCCGGGGCGCCCGGGACCCCGGCACGGCCCGCAGCCCCCTCCCGGAAGCTCCGGGTAACGGACAGACAGACACGTCAGCGCCGCCCGCCGTGCCCCGGGCCCGGTCCCCGCCCGCCCCAGTCCTCTCCCGCGTCCTCCCCGGCAGCTGGCGCTGTGGCGCCCTCGGTCCCGGCCACGCACCGAGCGCGATGAAGCTCCGGTTCACACCGGTCTTGGCCTCGAGCTTGGCCAGGACGTCAGTCATGCAGTTCTTCTCGTGCAAGAACCGGTCGAACCTCTCCCTCATGGCTGCAGACATGGCGAGGACACCGCGCCGAGAGCTGCCTGGACGCGGAACTCGAGGACTAAAGCGAGGACCGCAAGGCTGCTACTCGACTCTCCGAGCGCCCTCCACCCCGCCAGGCCACGCCTCTCCCTCGAGCCCCGCCCCCTCCCCTGCGGGGCCTGCGCCTCTGTCGGACGGCTGCCGGGTAGCCTGGCTCTTAGTATCCCTAAACCTTTGAGAGGTAAAAAAGGGAGAAGCTTATATTTTGTGTCTTTTGTCGATACCTGTCTTAACTCAACAGGTAGGAAAAGACACGGAGGAAGGCGTGCTTATTGCTCCCGCTAGCAATTTAGTGGGACTGGTTTGGTGACCTACACTGCTGTGCCAAACCTGCTAAGGCGTTTTTAATCTAAAAATGGAAATGTATGACCATCCTAAAAGGACTCTGTGGAAGCAGGCCTGCCTTGTCTCGGTGCAGGGCTTGACATCGCCTTTCTGGCCTACAGATAGTGGGCTGCTTGTGAACCCACACACACACACACACAGCCTCCCCTGGGGTCGTCCTTTGCACGCCCAGCTCTCCTGCACCTCCTGCGGGCTTGCCTTGGGCTGAGCTGACTCCGATCTCGTGGAAATGTTTCCAAAGTCTCTTAGTACAGTCGAGAGCTCGCACATCCTACACACAAAAGCACCCTGAAAAAGAGAGGGATGGGGCCGGGGATTTAGCTCAGTGGTTTCACCGCCTGCTGCACAAGCGCAAGGACCTAAATTCGATCCCCGGTACCAAAAAGGAAAAAAAAAAAGAGAGAGAGAGAGGGATTGGAAGGCCCAAGCTCAGGCCTTAGGCTTAGGGCCCGACCTCCCTCTGCTTCCAGCACCTACGCTCAAGCTCTTGTGGCCTCGCATCCGTGTTATTTCAGGACAGGCCTTGGAATCACTCTGCCTCCTGTTCTGCACACTGCTGCTGACTTTTCCTCATTGCACAAGGCTCAAGACTCCCCAGTGCTCACGGCCAGAGCTCCAGTTTCTAAACAGCACATTCAAGACTTTATGAACAAACTGGCCCCATTATTCCCTCCATGTCCTCCACAACCCCTCGCTGTCAAACTGATTTAATTACTGCACTGTCTTCCATTTCTGAAAAATAAGTAAAATAATCTTGCCCACTCATAGCTTTTTTTTTCTTTATGCAAATCATCCTTCCTTCCTCCCTTCTTCCCCAGAGCATCTTAGGTCAGCCTTCTCAGTTACCCCCACCAACACCCAGGCAAACCAGTGAACGAGTGAGACCATGTAGAAAATGAATGGCATTATTGGTGCACCCTCCCAGCTTCACAGTCTGTTTCTGTCTTTTCACCTACAGTTAATTCTGTTTTTTTTTTTTTTTGGTATGGGGTATCAAACTCAGGACCTTGTACTTATGAGGCAGGTGTGGCTCCACTGAGCTAAATCTCCGGACCTCAATAAGTTTTTAAATGAATGTTTCTCATGTATGTGACTGCATCAGGGGGTGCATGATAACTGGATTAGCACCTAATTGGATTAGAGTGGTTCTGGTTACTGAAGACAGAAACCCCTGCTGGGGCTGGTAGCCTGCATGGAATAAAAAGGGAATGAAAGAAGAAAGGCTGCTGCTTGATGCTTCCTATCTGCCCTTTCAGGAACTGTTACTCCTCTGCAATGCCCCTCTGCCTGCCTTCCTGCCTAGGAACCAGCCAAGTATGGGCTGAAACCTCTAAAATATGTGACCTAAAATAAACCTTTCCTCCTTTAACTTGGGGGTATTGGGTATTTCATCGTAGCAAAGAGAAAAGTAACCAAGAGAATATCCTTATGAAAATGAGAAATCTAAACTGGGAGACAGACATGCACTGATGGAAGATGATGTGGAGACACAGGGAGAAGGTGATCCTCCACAAGCCAAGGAGAAAGCCTGGAACAGATCCTTCCTGCATAGGCCTCAAGAAGGTGCCAACCTTGCTGACACCTTGATCTTTTGTTTGTTTGTTTTGTTTTGACACAGGGTCTTGCTACGTAGGTTCAGGCTGGCCTTGAACTCATGGCAACCATGCTGCGTCAGCCTCCCAAGTGCTGGGATTACAGGCCTGTGCCATCATGCCTGGCTTGACACTTTGATCTTGGACTTTAGCATCCAGAACTGAGACAATATGTATGTATGCATGTATGTATGTATATACTAGGGATTGAACCTGGGGTTTTGCACTGAGCTATGGCCCCAGTCAGTTTTCAAAAAAAAATTTTTTGAGACAGGGTCTTGCTAAATCTCTAAATTGCCCAAGCTGAGTTTAAACTTTTGATACTCCTGCCTCAGCTTCCCAGAGTACTAGAATTATAGGCATCCACCACCACACCTGACCTACATATCTATTATTTAAACCATGTGTGCTGTTTGTGGTACTTTGTTACAGCAGCTCTAGCAAACTAACATAATTTTCTAGCAAAATAACTGAATTTTGAACTTCAACCAGTTGTGAGTTTACATAATTTCTTACTGAGTGCAGTAATTATTCACATCTGGAATTTGAGATTATTTTGGGTACTTTAAATGATTTCCAGTTTGATAGTCTTATTTATTTTGAGCTCAGAAGCAATATCCTATTAAGTATCCAGATCAGGTTTTAAAAACTGGGTGGTTGAACTAAGGGCCTTCACACTGAGATATATCCCCCAGTCTTTTTTTTTCCCCCCTCCTAGACAAGGTCTCACTAAGTTGCTCAGGTTGGAACTTTCAATCCTTCTGTCTCAGCCTCCCAGAGGGCTGGGATACAGGTACACATCAAGCTCAGCCTAGATTTTTTTTTTAATTTTTATTTATTTATTTATTTTTTGGTACCGGGGATCAAACTCAGGACCTTGCACTTGGGAGGCAGGTGGTGGTACCACTGAGCTAAATCCCCAGCCCAATCAGCCTAGATTTTAATCACCTCCTGACATTTGTCCTACATCAACTATATAAGGAATGTCTGGAAGAATACTACTCATTTGGATTTCTTTTAAGTTTTCTTCCTCCCCAATTTTCTCCTCACTTAGATTCTAAGTATCTTCTTTCCGCCATCATTCAACAAAACACCGGTGAGGTACAGCAGCACAGTAAGGCAGAGCATGGGCGGCTCCATCTGTCCAGTCTGTATGAACTGAAGCCCAGCTTTGCCCTTTAGCTGTGTGACTTTGGGCAACTTATGTGAGCTCTCGTGTCTCTGTCCTGTCATCTGTGAAACAGGAATTATACTGGGACCTGTTTCACGGGGTTCTAATGATGATTAAATGAGTTACATTTGTAAAGTTTTTAGATGAGTACCTGGCACAAAGTGTTTGCTAAATAATCTAAGGAAAGAAAAGAAAAAAACCAGCCAGGTGCTAGCTGTCGAGAAAGAAAAATACTACATAATTCTTGCCATCAGGAAATTACAATCAGATTGAAGGAATGTGGAACCCCTTAGGCTCATGAATTCTCACTGCAAATCTTAGACACTTTCACAGATGAGAAGAGATGCTGACTATACAAACCCAGCCTTATGCCTCAGATTATTTGCCCACTCCTCCTTACTGAGCATATCCCACACCCTAGACAGACTCGGGAACCAGACAGACCAGGTCTGTGGGAAGCCATGGAGAACGTGGCCTGGAGCAGGAGGAGGTTGACTTTGGCAGTTCCTAAGAAAGCAGTCGAACCAGCATCGGGCCACACAGTACTATTTCTCCAACTTCCCTCAGAGAACGGAGATTCCGCTGGAGAACCACGATCAGGTCATTTCTTAGTTATCTGAAGTCATAGCACACTTTTGTTTTGACCTCATCATCTATATCAGGAAGAAGCAGAGCATAATTTGCTGGATAATCTCATTACCTTCTTCCACCTTCGCCTTTGTAGGCCCCCCAGGTTTAGGCGTACAACAGCACCAAGCAGCCTCCCATGTGCCCCAGGAGACCCTCGGCCCCTAAGACCCAGCCCCGCGGGCGCCCTCTGCTGGGGGACGTGTCCGGGACATGCCTTCTAAAACAGGAAAAGAGGAAGGAAAGCCTGAGCTCAGACTTGCCAGACAATAAAAGAAAAACGTGAAGGTGAGTATATAATTTAAGAAATAAAATGTGAAAATTATTGTGCTTCGTTGAATACACTTGAATTATATTTTGTTTGCCTCCTTTTAAAAAATTTTCTACTAAAAATATGGATAAAGCATTTTATTGTATTTCATTTATTAAATAGGAAGTTTTTAGAAATTACTGCTCACAATTGAGAATAAACCAATAGGGAACAGTCTTTAATTTAGTAAAAGTATTTTTGTTCTGAAATGAAATTCCATACGTCATTGCTACTGCACATATATCTGGAGATTTTTCAACAGGCATAAAAACACCCTTTCAAGGGCCGGGGATTTAGCTCAGCAGCACCGTGCCTGCCTCGCAAGCGCAAGTCCTGAGTTGGATCCCCAGTACTGGAAAAAAAAATACACTGAGACAAAACACCCTTTCTTTCACTCTTTCATTTCTCTAATGGCACCCACACAAGGGGACAAAGTAGAAAAACAAATCATTGACAGGTTATTTCTCTACGCTCACAACCAGTTAGTCCAGTTTGGGAGAAACCTGGGGGAGGAGGGATGGAGTCCATCCTGGGCTGTTCACTGGACCTAGGGTACAGGTCGAGGCATGGAGAACAATCTGGATTCACCTCACAGCCTACAGGGTTCATGCCATTTTGCTTTTCTTTTTTTTTTTTTTTTTTCCCAATTTTGCTTTTCTACGTCAAAGAGGACCATTTCCTTTCATGACTAGGCATCAAGGAAATTTAGTTAATTTAAATAAGAAAAATAGAACAAAAAAGGAAAAGAAAAAATATGAGAAAAGGAAAAAAATAGAAACAAAGTCTTTGCAAATAGGGAGGGGTGGAGGGGGTAAAGGGAGGGCAGGGGAATGGGGAAAAAATAAGAACCAAGATGCATCATGTAAAGGTACAAGCACCCAATGATGAATGTAACTGTATTTTATACCTAAAATGTACCAATAAAGTTAATGGGGAAAAAATATTTTATAACAAAACTGGAACAAAACTTTAATTCTCTTATGGGAAAAAAAAAGAAAAGAAAAATAGAATAACTGTGAGTATTCTGTTACTACTGTACCACATTACCACAAATTTAGTGGGTTAAAACAACATAAATTTAGCTTGGTGTGGTGATGTGCCCCCGTAATCCCAGCGCTATGGGAAGCTGAGGCAGGAGAATTGCAAGTTGGAGCCTGGCTAGGGCAATTTAGAGAGGCCCTGTCTATAAATAAGTAAACAGGGCTTGGGATGTAGCTCAGTGCAGAGGGCCTAGGTTCAATCCCCAGTCCTGCAAAAAGAAGTAAATAAATTTATCATCGTAGAGATCTCTGTCAGAATTCCAACAAAAGTCTCACAGGGCTAAAGTCAGTGTTGAGTTTGTTCCTTTCTGGCGGATCAAAGAATAATCAGTTTCTTTACTCATTTTGAGTGGTTGGCAGAACTCAGTTCTTGTGGTTGTAAGACTGAAATCCCCATTTCCTTCATTTTCACAACCAGAGCAAGTTGGATCCCTTACACACTTCAAATCTTTCTTCATTTTTTCTTGTCTCATCTCTCTGACCCATCTACTTTCCACTTCCGCTGTTAATGACTCATATGATTAGATTGGGCTCACTCACATAATCTAGGATAATCTCTCCCCTTTAAAGATCTGAAACCTTAATCATATGGGCAAAGTCCCTGGGCTATGCATTATGGTTTGGATCTAGAATGCTCCCAAAGGTCCATGTGTTAAAGACTTGGTCCCAAGCTGGTACTATTGGAAGTGGCAGAAACATTAAGAGGTGGGACCTACTGAGAGATTTTAGGTCCCTGGGGGCTGCTCTTGAAGGGACTGTGGAATCTTGGTCTCTTCCTCTCTTTTACTTGGCCTCCCTGACGGGCTCTTCTCCACCATGATGTGTTGCCCCATCACGGGCCCAAAAGCAATGGGACCAATCAACCATGGGCTGAGCCCTCCAAAACTATGAGCCAAAATAGGCCTTTCCCCTCTGTAAGATTATCTCTGGTGTTTGTTACAGTGATAAGAAGCTTGCTGACACAACATGAGGTAACATGAAGCTCTGGATAGGATGGTGACACTGGGGTTGGGAGGAAGGTTCATTATTCTGCCTACCACAATGGCCTTACATGGAGGACCTGTATCTAGCCTCAAGGTCCCTGGAACAAATGAAATGTTGGGGTCAGACATGTCCTGGAGTTCTTTCATCACATCAAGGGCCGAGCCAGGACATGACACAGGGTAAAGGTACAGGCCCTGGAGCAGATGCCCCGGCCCCAATACTTACTAGCTGTGCACTCTTGAGAGTGTTCTCAACCTCCAAGAGTCTCATTTTTCTTAGCCTATACAAGGAGGATAATGTCAGCATTTATCTCATAGATTGTTGGGATAAATGATACTGCATGCATCTATTTTATTGAGGGCCTAGCTTCAAGGAATGCTGAAGAAGTGTCAGCTAATCCAAGAGACTCACACAAAATGAAACAGAAGCCAGGTATGTGGCATATGCCTGTAACTCCAGGAGTGAGGGAGGCTGGGGCAGAAGGATTGCAAGGTAAGAGTCCCACCTTGGCAACTCAGCAAGACCTTGTCTCAAAACTAACAAATAAAAAGGACTGGTAGTAGAGTGCCCTGGTACAGGACAAAAGGAGGAAGAGAAGGAAGAAGAAGAAAACAGTTATAAGAGCTAGGGATTTAGTTCAGTGGTGCCGCTGCCTGCCTCGCAAGTGCAAGGTCCCGAGTTTGATCCCCGGTACCAAAAAAAAAAGAAAGAAAGAAAAAAGTTATGAGTTTATACCTAAAATTCCAACATTTTGTCTAATTACTTTGATTCAGGGATTTATCTGTGAAAGTCAAAATACTCTAGAAGTTAGTCCATGTCACTGATAATTTGACTATGGTAAAGAGAGAGAGAAAAAGAAAATATATATTGAGCACCTACTTTGTGTTAGTTTGTGTGATGACATTTGGGGGAGCTCATTATTCTGCCTCCTGTGTGTGACGGATCTGAGAGCATATTTTGGGTGGGGAGGGGCAGGTGCCTGGGGACTAAAGCAGGCGGCTTTTCCATGGTTACAAAGAAGTGGAACTAGATTGTTTAATTTTTCTCTATGGCCAAGGGAAATGGACCACCCAGGCTTGCACAGATGAGGACACCCATCAGGGAGCCCAAAGCCAAGCTGTTCCCTGGATGCAGCCCTCTGCCACTTAGTCTGCAAGTGCTTCCTGTCTCTCCTTGGTCTCTGACTTGCAGCCTGCTTTGGAAATGACTTGGCCCACACTCCTCCAGCTCTTGCGCATCAATCAACCCATGACTGTACGGGCTGACTCAAGGACGTGCTTCTTCCTTTCAATACATAAAGAACTTTTGTCTACGATGAGCTCTGCCATGCAGTTACTTGATTACATAGGCTTTTGTTTTTTGCCCAGGATGGTCTTTCTAAAAATTGATGCTAAAAAAAAAAAACCCTGAATGCCACTGATTTCATACTTCAAAATGATTCAAATGGCAAATTTCATGTTATATGTATTTTACAATAGAAAATAATCAGGCAATTAATTTTTAAAGATATGGTACAACTCCAAGATATTCCACAGTAAAAATATTTTTGATTAAAGTATACTCATCAAAAAAATTAAAATAAATAAGTAATAAAATTGATAGTAAGGTTAATTTATAACCAGGTAGTATGGGGGGGTGCGTGGAGTAAGGTTTAGAGAAAAATAGACAGGCTTTTCTTCCCACACCTTTTTTCCTAACAACTCTTTATCTGTCTGCACCATAACAAAACACCCTGCTGAAATGGGAATTCATTGGTCTAAAAAAAAAATCATAGTATACTGTCTAAACACCACCACCCACTGTGCATATCATCACAAGCTTCATAAGATTTACTGAATATCACAAATTGAGCCTTTGATTTGATAAATTTGATAACTTTTTTTGTTTAGTACTAAGGGTTGAACCCAGGTCCTTGCACTGAGCTACATCCCCAGCACTTTTTAAATTTTTTCCTTTCAATACAGGGTCTTGCTAAGTTGCCCAGGCTGGCCTTGAAGTTACGATTCTCGTGCCTCAACCTCCTGAGTAGCTGGGATTATAGGTGTCCATGGCCCCACCAGGCTAATTTGATACTTTTGATGATCATTCTTATACAATAGTTTGGATTTGGAAAGATCAATAGCTAAAATTGTAACTTTTAGCTTTGTACAATAGTAACTGAATTGATAAATTTAACACAGTATAACCAACCAGTCTATATCACATACATATTTGGTGTGTTCATAACCCAATACACTGGCATATGAAGCAGATCAATGGGAGGAGGGGTTGCCATTTCTGGATTTTGGGGAATGTATTACATCCGACTTGTGTCTTTAACATGCAGGAAGACCATGAGACTATTTCATGCCAAGTTCACAGCTTTTATTTAATATTAAACAATGCCATAAATTGGAATAAATGCAAATATGCTAAATAAATCATAAAAGACTTAAGGGTAAATTGAAGTGCAAGATAAACAGTTGTCTTAACAAAATAAAACAAACTGGGTCAATTTTGGAGTGATATTTTTATTTTTCCAGGGGTTTTTTGGGGGGGGTACATGTTTGCAATACATGATTACACTCCTTGTGGGGAATTGGTACATGTGCATATCAATTCTTTTTTCATCCTCTTTCCCTCCCTTCCATCACTTGATCCCCTTCCCATCTGAAAAAGATCTGTCTCCCTATTTCCTATTATCTCTTTATTTGCTCTTTATTTATATCTTGGGTTTCTTTTATAAAAGATACTACGCAATATTTAAGCTTGTGTGTCTGATTTACTTCACTTAACATGGTCTCAAGGTGCATCCATTGTCCTATAAATGACTCAGGTTTATCCTTCTGTAAGGTAGAGTAGTACTCCATTGTGCATAATTGCCACATTTTCTTTATTCATTCATCTGTTGATGGGTATATAGCCCACTTCCAAGATTTAGCCATTATGAATTGTGCTGCAATAAACATGGGTATGCATGTATCACTGTAATATGATGTCTTTAACTCTTTTGGGAAGATAAGCAGAAGGAGAATTTCTATTTTTAGTTTTCTGAGGAATATCCATACCAATTTTCACAGTGGTTGTACTAGTTTACATTGCCACCAACAATGTAGAAGCATTCCTTTTTCCCCCAAAGCCTCACCAGCATTTGTTATTATTTGACTTCTTGATGATGGCCATTCTTTCTGGGACAAGATGGAATCTCAGTGTTGTTTTAATCAGAATAATATTTTTTAAATAAATCACTTTTAAAGATTCTTCAAACCACTTTTTCAATTTGTATTAATTCAGAGGAAAACTTTTAGAAAATCACCCTGCAAAGCTTTTGTACATAGAGAGGGGAAGGGGCTTGGAGGGAAGGAGAAAGGGGAAAAAAGAGGCAGGATGTATCGTGTACAGGTGCAAATTCCCTATGACGAGTGTTATCATTATGTATGCCAAAAATGTACCAATAAATGTTTTTCTATAAAAAAAAAAGGGCTGGAGATATAGCTTGTATGAAGGTCCTGAGTTTAATCCCCAGTAAAAAAAAAAAGTCACCTTGGGCTGAAGATCAGCATCAGTTTATATAGTGTGATTTCTTTTCATTTGCCTTACATTATATCTACACCAAGAGAGGAAGGTGGAGACTTATGCAATTATCTTAGAATTTTTCTAATAAAAACTTTATTAATAATTACTTGCCATAGACAGCCCAAGCCATGACCTTTCAACAGAAGATAATTGGACACATCTAGATTTTTCAGGGCAACTTAGTTTGAGACCAAGGAATAATCAGGGCTGTTTTTTGTCAAGTACAAAATCAATTTCATAATGCACTCCTCCACACTGGAAGTCCCTTCTCATCAATATTGGATCTAATTACTTAGATTTACTATGTTAAAGATTTTACAATATTGTATTTCCAGAAGGCTAATGAGTCACAAGTGTTTAATATCCATCCATTCATTTAACTGCTATTTACTGAGCACCTACTATGGTACCTGCAAGGCACTCAAGATACACCAGGAACCACGATATTAACACCTGATCTCTATCATTGAGAGTTTGAAAGAAACTTTAATACCTCAACCTAGTATTTTTTTTGTCTCCCAACTTATTTTTGGTACCAGGGATCAAACTTGGGACCTTGCGCTTGCAAGGCAGGCAGTGGAACCACTGAGCTAAATCCCTGGCCCCTCTCAACCTTTTTTTAAAATGAATTTTATTTTATCCCATTCCCGCCCTCAAGCCCCTCCCCTCCCTATGTAAAAAAGCTTTGTTTCCATTTTTTTCCTTCTATTTTCACTTTTTTCTTTTCCCTTCCTTCCTTTCTCCCTCCCTCCTCCCTTGCTCTCCTTCCCATTTGAACACTCTCTTCCCATTTCCCAATATCTATTATACATCTCAGTTCTTATTTTTGCATTCAGTTTCTCACACCAGAGAAACAATGCTCAACCTATTATTTATATTTGTCTCATCACTAAGGGAAATCAATTCTTAAATCCCTCAATTTGACCCTTTTTTAAAACATCAGATGTAATTTATTCTCTTTATCACTGTATTCTGCTACCAGAAAATCTTTTTAAATGCCTCTGCTTTTCTTTTCCCCTTTTCCCAAGCCTGGGAAGAGTTGAGAGAACAGAGGCTGCTTCCTGGTTGAGTCATCATTTGCTACATTATATAATAAATTCATAAATACTAACAGTGGAAAAAATTAAACAGTGGGGGGAAAAATCCACTGTTCATCTTCTAGTCCTACAAGTTTTCCCTAGCAATGTCAACTGGGAAATGGTCAGACCTGTGAAGACCAGGAGAGAGCTAATCAGTGGCCTGACCAAGCATCTCATAATGATCTCTTTTTATTCTATAGGGAGACACTTAAAACTGTATACACAGACACCTCAGTATTTTACTTTAGTGCAAAACGTGTCAGCAGTTAGCAACTGTTTGTTACACCACAGATGTAATATCTGTTAACAATGAGATTGCGGCATCCGATCCCATGTAATTCTCCCATGTTGGGCTACTTCGCTCCCTTAAGAAAACGCACTGGACCAATATGCTATTTTCTGACAGAGGCATTAGTTTTTGTCCATTTTTATGAACTGAGGAGAGGAAGGGTGGAAGTTTATCCCTGAGTATGAGGAAGCTTGGACAGTTTATCTCTAAAAAATACCAACTTTTTAAAGCACAATTTTACCCTCTTATTTACATTAGTATAATTAGACCAAAATCTAAATGCTAGTCACACTGTTAAAAGTAAACAGTCCTCAGGGCTGGGGATTTAGCTCAGTGGTTCCGCAAGGTCCCGAGTTCAGTCCCTGGTAGCACAAAAAAAAAAAAAGTAAACAGTTCTAGTGCCATTAATAATAAAACATAAATTTGACAAGACAAATGATGGACATATTTAAAGAAAACTGAAGACATAATAGACTTAAGACATATTCAATATTATAAATGTTAATTCTCCCCAAATATATCTGAAAGTTTACCACAATTTAAACATTTGAGATTTGCTAAAAATGATTCTAAATGTCACCAGTAAGAAGTTTTTTTGTTTTGGGGGTTTTTTTTCTTGGTACTGGGGATTGAATACTAGTAGGAAATTTGTAATAGGGCCAGGGATTTAGCTCAGTGGCACCCCATACCTGCCTGGCAAGCGCAAGGTCCTGAGTTTGATTTCTTGTACCACCCCCCCAAAAAAGAAAGAAATTTATAACATACTGAAGTAGTGGTAGGAACATCTCAAAAAACGAAAATGAGGAGAGCTTACCTTGTCACATATATAGCTACAGTAATTAAAACCACAGGTCCTGCTGCAAAGATGAACAAATCAGAGAAATAACAAATCAGAGAAATAGAACAGACTAGTACATACATGAAACTAGCATGTGCTGTTGTTTACATGCGTTCCCTCCAAATTTCAGATGCTTCATATGATGGTAAGAAAAGGTGGGGTCTCTACAAAGTGATTAGGCCCTGAGGGCTCCTTTTTCATGAATGGGACTGGGTAATGGGTCTGACAGAGGAGTGAGTCCCATTTAACCCCCTCCATCTTCTGCCATGTGAGATCACCACACTTCTCCTGTGGAAGACACAGGATCCCAGGCACCATCTTGGAAGCAGAGAGCAGCTCTTACCAGACATGAAACCTGCTGGCATCTTGATCTTGAACTTCTCATCCTTTAGGTCTGTGAGAAAATAAGTATGTCTGTCTATCTGTCTTCTTTCCTTTCTCTTTCTTTTTTTAAAAAAATTTTTCTCTTTCCTTCTTTATTTCCCTTTTTTCTTCCTTCCTTCTTTCTTTTTTTCTTTTTTGGTGCTGGGGATTGAACCCAGGGCTTTAAACATGCTCAGCATTTGCTGTACCTCTAATTCACATCCTCAATCTGTATTACCCAACCTCAGGTGTTTTGTTATAGCGGCACCAAAGGACTAAGACAGTATGTGAAAAAAAAAAAAAAAGTGGAAGACCCTGGCAGGGAAAGAAAGAAAACAAACACAAATCAAAAAGTCAAAAAACAAACCTGGAAAAATACCTTATATACATATCACAGACATAACTTCATAATGTAAACAGTTATGTAAGAAAAATATGAAAATCCTAGAAAAGTAAATAAACTACACGAATAGGACAAGTCACAAAATAAGAAAATATAGAACAAGCATGGGAAACATGTTCCATGTCACTTGCAATAAAAAAACTGCTGATGAAAATAATGAAATAACTGGACTTCGTGGCTCACACCTGTAATACCAGCACTTGGAAGGCTGAGGCAGAGGACTGCCACGAGTTTGAGGCCAGCCTGGGCTACATAGTGAGTTCAAGGCTGGCCTAAACAATAGCAAGACCTGTCTCAAAAAAGCGGGAAAAAAAGAGAAAAAAATCATGTATCTGTGAGTCTAGATATGGATCTATATCTGTATCTATAAACACAGGATTTGTGAACAAAATATGGGTATATCTATTATTCAGTAATTTCTTTTTTCATTCTATAACATATAAAGAATATCTATGATTATTATTTAAAAAAATAAGGTTATAAAACAACATATATAAAGGGACTCTCCTTTTGTAAAGTGTATACAGGCAAAGAAAAAAGTTTGGGTCCCTCAGTGGAGAGAGTACACATGATTTTTATTCTTTTCTATGTTTATCTTCCTGTTTTTAAAACTTTTTAAAATAGTGAGTTGTTTTAATAATGAATTGCTAAAGTTTAAAAAAGATAACTATACCTTTATTATTATTGTTACTTTTCCATATTATTTTTATAACTAGAAGGAAATGTTTTCATTACCAAGAAAAAAAAAACAGTATTAGGGGAAAACATGAGACAGCATATTGCTCCTATAACCTCCTGTCTCCGGCCTGCAAGTATTTTTTATCTCTGTTAATCAAAATATGAGCTACATAAACTATAAACTTAAGGTGATTTGTGAGTACATTTAGGACTTCTAAATGAAGCTGCAGCTTATTTTTGTGATTTTATTGATTCGATTATTTTTAAGAAATCCAGCAATAACAGGACAAACTGAAATAGCCGCAAGGGGAAGAAACGAACCACAATTTTTTTGTCATTTTTTTTTGTTGTTGTTATTAGTATCAGTGGTGAGATTGATTTCCTTCTCGCATGCAAGAAAGTGAACTGTAAATCAAACCTGCCAGGAGGCAGCGCCGCAGAGCCCAGTCCCTTTCAGCGAACAGCACGCGCGCCTCAGGGTCCTCTTCCGACTCTTCTAGTCTCCTACACCGCCCCAGGAGCAGAGGGCTCGCGCAGGCGCACGAGCTAGGTAGGGCGCGCCGCGGAACTATTGCGCAGGCGCGGCAGGCTTGCCGTCGAGCCAGCGGTGTAGTCAGGGTTCGCCATGGTCGAGGCGTCTCGCGGTTACCGAGGCGGTGAGAACAGTCCTCTTGAGGAATAGTGAGGCAGGGCCTATCTGGCTTTCCAGATACCCAGAAAGGAGGTCTTTGGCCGCACTTCTCCACTCCTGTGAGGCATAATGACCGCCGGTACTTTGGCCCACACTACCACCGTGGAGAAGCCAAAAGAGACAGAATCCCCTTTCCCAGAGAGGGAAAATGAAGTCTCGAAGAAGACGCGGCGCTCTCACTGTGCCCGAGGCTCCCCGAGGCGCTTGAACGCAGTGCAGTGACTGTCGCTGGGCGGGTCCGCCAGGTCCTCTCCAGACCTGGGAGTTGCGCCTTTGACCGAGCCCGCCCGGGGCCTCCTCCCTTAGGCGCCTTCAGAGTCCGAGAGGAAAACGATTAGGGACGCAGGAGGGGGTTATTTATTTGTATTTTACTCTGAAGACTGACTGGTGGGGAGACATCCATGTTATAGAGCCTGTTGGTATATGTAGCCATAAAATGATTGCCCACTTACCCCTTGGGAAAATTGAGTAGTATCATGAAAGGGAGAAAAAATACCGAGGAGCCCCTGGAGCTTTCTTTTGCACCGTGACCCAAAATCGGCTGTGTTTTTCCATCGTTGTTGTTTATATATATTATAAATTACATAATGCGCAGTAATTTTTCTTTTAAATCTCACAGGGCCTTCGAAACATAAGCTGCATTACATAAAGGAAGTAGAAATTAGAACCACCCTTAAAGAGTTGTTACTCTACTTAATTTTTCTAATAAACCAGTGTATATGTAAGTACACAAATATAAAGACGCTGATTAAACTAGGAGTTAAAATGTAGAAATGAGAAAATAAAACATGAGTTTTACAGTCAGGCTGTCAGATTACAGCCTATGACACATTTAAAACAATGATACATTTTAAACATCATTATCCAAAGACTGACACTATTTCCAGTTTTTAAAGGGTTAAAATTTAGCTAGGCATAGTTTCCCATATCTGTAATCTCAGCTGCTTGGGAGGCTGAAGCAAGAGGATCTTAGAAGTTCATTCACGGTCTCCTCCCTGGGCAATTTAGAAAGACCCTATCTCAAAATAAGATTCAGAAAAGCTGAGGATGTAAGCAAGTATGCATGAGGCTCTGGGTTCAATTCTCAGTACCACACTCATAAAGAACAAAACTTCAGGTCATAAATAATGATGAAAAGCTTCCATAATCACATTGATTGAATATAATTATTCCTTTTGCTTGGCACATCTATTTCAAACATAATCCCTTGGGCTGGCAGTTGTTTGTAGTGTGACTGAAAACCACAATGAATGTTTAAATTTTTAAAAATGTTTACAATAAAAGACACATTGCTATTAATCACCCTCAAAATACTCCCTCTTTTTTCAAACACTTATCCCATCATTCTTAAGACTTTCTGAAGCAATTCTGTAAGTCTTCTTTTGTGACTGTCTTTAGTTATGCTGTTGTGGCTGCCTCAGTGTCTTGAACTGATTTAAAACATTTACTTTTCATAGTCATTTTGACTGGGGAGGAGCCAAAAGTTGCATTGTGCCAGATCTGATGAATAAAATGGGTAAGGACACACTGCATTTCGGCTCAGTGGCAATCAGCAGCAGCATACACTGTAGTGTTTGTGAACTTACCTCATAAAAACACAAAAGAGGACTTCCAGAACTACTTCAGAAAGTGGCAAGAGAGGCTGGGGATTTAGCTCAGTGGTTCTGTCGCCTGGCTCAAAAGCGCAAGGTCCTGAGTTCAATCCCCAGTACCAAAACAACAACAACAAAAACACTGAGAAAGAATGATGTGATAAGCATGTTCAAAGAAAGCAGGAGTATTTTGAGGGCAATTAATGACAGTGTGTCTTTTACTGTAATAAATATTTTAAAATTTAAAAATTCAAGGCCAGGGGTTTAGCTCAGTGGCATTGTGCCTGCCTGGCAAGTACAAGGTCCTGAGTTCAATCCCCGGTACCAGAAGAAAAAAAAATTAAACATTCACTGTATATTTTGATCACCCCTTATAATTTTATTCTTTCAGAGCCATACAAAGTATTAGTTCAGTTTCACAGATCAAAGTACAAATTCATCCAAACAGAAGTTGATCTTGGTGTTGCAGTTCATAGTTACACATACTTGTGATGAATCAGTGTGAGTTCTTAAGGAGGACAGGGAAAACTCCAACTGCAATCCCTCTAACTAGGGTGTCAACAGTATTGATTTCATATGCAAAGGGAATATTAAAGAGCATTTTTATATTTACATCACCCAGCAAAAGTTCACTTGTCTGATTTATCTCATGTTGGCTTATACTACACACTGGCAGTTATACACCAACTGTCTAATTAATTGCTGTTGCAACAGTAAATTTGAGTGAGAGCTTAATTAAAGACAACTGTAAGCCTGGCATGGTGGCATATGCCTATAAGCCCAGCACTTTGGGAGGCTGAGGCAAGAGGGTCACAAGTTAGAGTCCCACCTGGGCAACTTAGTGACACGTCTCAAAATAAAACGAAAAACCAAGCTCGGGATGTAGCTCAGTGCAAAGGCCCCAGCTTCGATCCATAGCAAAAAATAAAAAATAAACTGTAGCCAACTTTATAAATTAAGATGTCTTACACTGGCTTATAAAAGCTTAGTACAAAAATAATAAATGCTTATAGAATATTTAGAAAATAGAAAATTATAAGTAAAAAGATTATTCATAGTTCCACTATTTTTTTTTTTTTGGTACCAGGGATCAAACTCGGGTCCTTGCACTTGCTAGGCAGGCGCCGGAACCACTGAGCTAAATTCCCGGCCCAGTTCCACTATTTTTAAGACTTTTCTTATAATAAATAAGAATTGGAAACAGCCTCTCAACACTGTAGTGTATAGACAGTGTAACAGATACAACTATTAAAGTGGCATAAACTCATGCATGCCATGGAATGAGGTTGAAGATACATGGTTTTGAATAATTAAGGGCTTCTGGCAAAAAGCCCTATTTGGTCTAAACTAAACTCACTGACCCCCAAGAAAAGAGAAAAGAATACCGGTTAATATTTTTTAAAACTTTTACTATATGCCAAAGCATACTTTTAAAAGTTCTAAGGATTTAACTCAGTGGTTTCGGCACCTGCCTTGCAAGCACAAAGTTCCGAGTTCAATCCCTGGTACCAAAAAAAAAAAAAAAAGTTCTATATGCATCATCTCACCTTCCACAATAAAACTAGCATGTAAATGATACTATCCCTGACATCAGATTCAAACCCTTAAATAGCTGAATTCAAAGTCCACAGCCTTTAAAAAATTTTTATTTTTATTAGTCCATGTTTGCAGTACATAATGATTACATTCATCATGGGGAGTTGGTACACGTACATAACACATCTTAGTTCTTTTTATATCTCCTTCCCCTCCTCTCACTTCCCCCGCCCTTGAAAGTCTTCAGCTTTAACCACTTATCTTATTCTATTGCCTATTCAAAACATGGAGAAAAAGCCAATTAAAGAAATAATAGACATAACATGACCTCATTTTTTATAAAGATGAAATAATTTTCTTTATAACAGTATATTCATAAAACCTGAAGAATCTTCTCCAATTGACCTCTAGCAGTGGGATTACAAGAAGCATCTTCCCACTTTGGGTAATTCTATTTTAGATTTTTATTGTTGTTTATATATGTACTGCTGAAGCGAGCACTCTTTTAGATTTTTTTTAGTTATCACTTTTATACTTAGACAAAACAAAGTTGAATTTTCAAAACTGGGAACTAATAGTAACTTTTTTTATCCTGATAAACTAAGTTTTTAAACAAAAACAATTCTTCTCCTTAGTGACTTTTGGGATGGTAAATCCACATATGTATTACTTTAACAAAGTTATATCATCTCTGTTTTTGAAGGTTCTGTACCTGGTGATGACAGAACCAACTTTAAGTCTATTCACAGCATAACTGATTTTTGGAAGGTAAGATATATAACTGTGGATTAAGTAGCTTTAGGTATTCCATAAACCCTTGGCATACATAATAAGCAGGGAATATTTGTTGAAGGAATGAGTAAAAATGAGTATCATTTCTTTAAGCTATTATAATCAACCAACCCTTAGTGTTTACTGAGAATGTATATGCATAGTGTGATACTGTTCTTATAACTTTAAAAAAGTGTATTTTTTCCACACTCCTATGTCATTTGGAAAGTACAAGACTTGTTTCTTACAGAGGGTTAGGGCCTAAAGTCAGTCTATAAAGGACTGGAATACATACTAGTAACAATTACTCTTAACTATGCAGAAAGTATAATAGACATGATTTGGATATGCAACCTTTTGTGTGTGTGTATTATAGTAATGTACAGCCTAGAGAGAGAATATAACGTTATAGTTGTATTAGTCATTTTTCCACTGCTGGGACAAAGTACCTGACATACACAACTTAAAGGCTAAAAGGTTTATTTTGGCTGACTGTTTTTGGAGATTTCAGTGTGTGGTTGGCTGGATCCAAGACAGAAGGGCAAAAAGGAAGGGCAACCAGAAGCAGAAAGCAGGGGAAGAGCCAGAGAGGAAGGGGCCTGGGATTAGATATAGTCCCCAAAGTCACATCCCTAGGACTCATTTCCTAATAGCCCATGCAACTGTGAGCTCATCAAAGGGTTAGCTACTGATGAGGTGAGTGTGCTACAATCCAGTCACCTCTCCAGGAGTCTCTTAATCCAGTGAAGCTCACAAGATTAACTGGCAAATAGCATTTGTAATTACATAAAAAAATCATTGCTTCAGCATTGGAATAGACTTGGTTTTTCCATTACACTTGACATAGCAAGAAGCTCATGAAGAAAGAACAATTAAGAGAATAGCAATTTCAAGTATCCTATGTCACAAACATTTGGGTATAAAGGATGAGGCAGTTAAAGGAAGCTTTCAGAAGTGATGATAATGCTGTTCAGTTTTATAGGATGAATAAGGAAAGGGCATTCTAGGAATAAGAGACAATATGTGCAATAAGTTATTCTAGATGTAGAACTGTTTGGCACTGTGGGCATATGGAAGATGAAGTGGAAAAGGCCAAATGCTAATTGGACGAGGTCAGCATGAAAGCCACGCTAGAAATTTAAAATTTACCAGGGAGACAAGGAGAGTGAGAGAACAAGTATGAGATAAGGACCAAGTGATCATAAGTCATTGTTTTAAACTTGGTGAAACATGAAAGATAGGAAAGGAAGTGAAGCTCATCTTGCCTCATTTACTGTGTGATCTTGAGACATGTATATGGCCAATGGGAAAGAAGACGAAGGGCAAAAAAAATGACCTCTGGGCTTGGGATCTCTCAAAATGAGCAGATAGGTTCAGAGCCAGCATAACAGTCAACACAAACAAAGTTGTGGAGGGAATTTGAAGGATGGGAAGTACGGACAATTATAAGGTGAAATCATGATGTGTGGCTATAACCAGGTCTGAAGTTTACCTTTTGGAGGGCAAGTTTTAATGGACTCAAATACAAGAGTTAAAGGATTAAGAGTTAATATTTGTAAAGTACTCAGAGCAATACCTTTTACACAGTGAGCCCTGGTAAGTGTTAACTACAAGAAGACCATATCATTACCATTAATACTAACGGTTATTTGGTTGATAATTTTCATACTCAAAATTTCTCATATATAAAATGCATAAAAATATTTCTTGTTGTGAAAATATTTTTCTAAAGATATTTCTCTTTTTATATAAAGTTTATGGAAGGACCCCTTTTGGAAGGTTTGTACTGGGATTCATGGTACAATAACCAAAAGCTGTATAATTTAAAAAACAGCAGTCGCATCTACTATGAGAACATTCTTCTTGGAGTCCCCAGAGTTCGGCAACTAAAAGTTTGCAATAATACATGCACGGTCTGTTCATCCTTTCAGTCTTTGATGAGTGAATGTTATGGCAAGTATACTTCTGAAAATGAAGACTTGTCTGATTTTGGCATCAAAAGTGGTACTAAGTAAGTAGTGTAAAATTATACAGTAATTTTTTCTAGCAGATAACCTTTGTATCTTTAAAAAATTGTAAAAATAAGGCCGGGGATTTAGCTCAGTGGTTCTGCCACCTGCCTCACAAGCACAAGGTCCTGAGTTTGATCCCCGGTACCAAAAAAAAAAAAAATTGTGAAAATATATGTATTTCCCAAGCAATACAGGCTGGGGCCTGGTTGGTAAGGTAACTGTTTCAACAACAGTATCAAATGAAGATGTGGAGATAGCAGTGCTTACAAAAGAAATAGCAAAAACTATTTGGGTTTTAGGAGGTTTTGTGGGTTTTTTTGCTTACCTTAGAGTACAAAGTATTTTGTTGTTGTTGTTGTTGTTGTTGTTTTTTCTTATATGAAATCCTTAGACATAGTGAATGCAGGGCAAAACATCAATTTTTGCTTCTGCAGTAGTCAGCTTCTCTGGCCTGACTACTCTTCCTCAAACACACACACACACACTGCCAAACTGTGAGACTCTTAGGAATGTCTTAGGTGTGCTCTGCCACTTTCCTCCTCCTTCATCCTGGCTTACTGCAGTGCTATCTTTTGTGGCTGCTAGTACTAAAAACGGTCAGGTGTGCTCTGCAGGCGCTGTCTGATGATGGCTGCCAAACATACTATGGCCATTGTTCCCCAAAGTGGCTGAGGCCAATGCTGGTACACATTCACGTCTTTGGTTTACATTAGAAATGTGAAAGCCCAAAGCCCTGGCACCACCTGCCTGGACACAGAGGCTTCTGGTATCAATGTTGTTTGTACTTTGTACTTTTATAATCCTATGAAAATCATAGCAAGGAGAGACTAAACCTTTTTTGTATACAGTATTTATGAAAAAGTGATACAAATGTTTACAAAGGTCTACCCTTTCCTACTAATAATTCCCACTCTCTAGAAATAGCTACTATGCTCTTCTAGTACATACTTCCTGCCTCTAAATTCATACTTATTCTGCTAATACTTGATTTTATAGTTTATATATCTGTTGTTTTTATATTTTATATATCCATTCCATCATGGAAGATGATCTGTCATGTAGATCTTATGCCAATTCCTCTGTTCCTCTTAAACCTTTCAATATCATTATGCCATGATTAGTATTATCAGTTTATATTATAAAAATTTCAATTATATTTTCTTTCTCAAACAACCTCCCCTAACTCCCAGTACTAATAATTGCTTTGTGGTTTGGGTTGACTTATTTTTTAATTTGTATGAATTTTGGACATTCTTGAGGGCTTGCATAATTCTAATCTAATAAATTCATAAGTATTATGACACATTCTTATAAATATTACAATAATATTAACTCCATTTCAATGCAAAATTATAGGATAAATCAATTATTTAATTACACATTTTAACTTAGAATTCCAAAACCAATCTTTTATTTTAATATTCTAAATTCTGATAACTATACTTTATATATTAATATTGACACTATGGATTAGGGTTACTTTACCATCTGTATAATTTATTGAAATTATGAGTTAATACCTGTCATTCCTCCACACCAAAATAAGAAACAACCTGTGCTTGTTTATCTTATCTAAAATGTAAAATTCATTAATTAAAAACATTACTTATTAAAAATTGGAAGCCAGGACAGAGTGGGTTTAATAAATTTTCCTGTTTATCAGTCATATGCAGAAAACCCTCAAAAACACAACTATGAAATTTTGGCTAGGGCCGGGGATTTAGCTCAGTGGTTCCGGTGCATGCCTTGCAAATGCAAGGTCCCGAGTTTGAGTTCCCTGGTATTAAAAAAAAAACTTTTGACTAAAGTATAAATAGGGGTGTGCCATGCCTGTAATAGCAGCTACTCTAGAGGCTGAGACAGAAGAATTGAAAGTTCAAGGCTAATTAGTGAGATTCTGACTCAAAATGAAATCTAAAAGGAAAAGGGGTACAGGGAATGATGGTGTGTGTGTGTGTGTGTGTGTGTGTGTGTGTGCAAAAATGATCAAAGCATGTTATGTGCATATACAAGTCTGCAAAAATGAAACCTATTAATCTTCTCTGTTTCCTCTCTACCATGCCCTGAGCAGTGCTGCTCTACCATGCCCCTCTGCCATTTTCTGCCTTGGAGTCAGGGACTGAACTGAAGCATGAGCTAAAATAAACCTCTCTTCCTTTAAGTTATGGGTTCCAGGTGTTTTGTCCCAGCAGTGAAGGAAATGACTAAAACAGTTCTCCAGGACAGACCTTAGGCTAAGTCCTACAGCTAGGTTCAGCACCTTCAAAAGGACTAAAATAATACAGGATGGCTCTTTGGTTACAATGGAGTTAAATTAGAAATCAGTAGCAGAAGAAAACTTAGGAAATCCACAAATAAGTGGAAATTAAAGAAGACACTCCTAGGGTCATGGATTTAGCTCAGTGGTTTTGCTGCCTGCTGCACAAGCACAAGGACACAAGTTCGATCCCCGGTACAAAAAAAAAAAAAAGACACTCATAAAGAACCACTGGATCAAAAGGAAAATCACCAGGGCAATTAGAAACTGCTTTAAGATCCACAGAAATGAAACACAATGCAAACACTTTGGTGTGTGGTAAACACTGTGCTCATGGGAGGTTCATTCCTGCACATGTCCATGTCATGAAAGAAGATTGCAATGTGATAAACTAACCTTCCCCTTAGAGAAGCAGAAAAAGAGCAAACTAAAGCCAAAGTAGGCAGAAGGAAGGAAATAATAAAGATTAGTACAAAAATATGTAAAATAAAAAATAGCAAAACCTAAAATAGGTTCTTTGAAAAGATCAACAAAATTGACAAACCTTTAGGACAAGAAAGACCAGAGGACTCAATCAAATGGGAAATGAAAGAGGGGGTGTTTAAGGAAGTCAGAGAGGTGGCCGGGGATTTAGCTCAGTGGTTCCAGCACGTGCCTCACAAGTGCAAGGTCCTAAGTTCGATCCCCAGTACCAAAAAAAAATCAGAGAGGTGGCAGGAAAGGCCACAAATAACTGCACACCAACAAATCAGACACAAAATGGACAAACTCCCAGAAAGACACAAATCTCTAAAACTGGATGAAGATGAAATATTAACTAGAACAAAAAGATATTGAAGTAGTCCTTTAAAAACGCCCACAAAGGGCCCAGGGAGGCAGCTCAGTGGCATAGTGCCTGCCTGGCAAGCATGAGGGTTTTTAGTTCAATCCCTGGTACAAAAACAAAACAAAAAAAACCACGAAGAATTCCCATGCCCGCCACTAGTGGGTTCCTCCAAACATTCAAAAAAGTGATACCAATTCTTCACCAACTTCCAAAACATACAACAGTAGGAGATGTTCCAATTTATTCAATGCAAAATTATAAGAAAACTGCTGGCCAGTATCTCTTCTCAATATAGACACTTATATTCTCAGCAAACAGCAAACCAAGTGCATCAACACTAAGAAAAAATCAGATGCCATGATCAGAGGATTATCCCAGGAATGCAAAGTTGGTTTAGCACTCCAAATTGATTCATTTATGAAGCATAGTAAGAGAATAAAACAATATAAAAAACATTTATATAATTAATATATACTAATCAAAAAAGATGTGGAAAAAAAATTTAAAAGGTCTGGGTCTGGGTCTCAGCATCAGAGTGGTTCCCTAGCATACTTCAGGCCCTGGGTTCAATCACTGATAATATAATTGTAATAGTAATCGTAGGGCAGGGGATTTAGCTCAGTGATTCTGCCGCCTGGCTCACAAGCACAAGGACCGGAGTTCAATCCCCGGTACCAAAAAAAAAAATATATAGTAATCATAATCATAATATTTATAAGTACTTTTTCCTAGTGGTTTCAGCACACACATTCCCTACCCTGATGAAAACATAGTATTAATAGAAAAAAATTAAGCAATAATCTTTGAGTAACCTTTCAAATATATATTGGGGAAATTGAATAAGGAGACTAAAATGAGGAATCAAAGCTTTCTTTTGATTATCTCATAATTAAAAGTAAAAAGAATGAGAAAATAAGTTACATATATTTTACTTTGATTTATGTACTTTAGTTAAAATAAAATAGCTACGTTACACACAGACACTGCAACACAGTTTTAATGATACATGACTTTTACAAGTCAAACTATGAAGCACTTTACCCTCTTACTGATATTTCCGAATCAAAACCTGATATTCTTTTTTTTTCTCTTTTTTCCCCCAGTACCAGAGATTGAACTCAGGACCTACTGCTTGCCGAGCAGGCACCAACACCACTGAGCTACATGCCCAGCCCTAAAAATCCTGATATTCTTGCCCCACTCAAAAACTAAATATCTCATAAGACACAAGAGACAATATGTTAAAGAAAAAAACCTCATAATTTCTAGATTCTAAGCTCTCATTTTTCCTGTAACAGTTTGCAGTTTGTCCAGTGTGTTACCCAAAGTAAGCCCTAAAAAGTAAAAAAAAAAAAAAAAAAAAAAATACCATCGGTCCTTTTAGCTTAATCTTTAACTCATTCTCTTGGTTCAAAATTACAATAACACTTATAAACTTGTTAGTAAAACTTTTTTAAAACTACTACTTTGGAACCAAAGTTTAGTTTAAATTCTTAGACTACTTTTCAACTGGGCTTTCACATATCTCCGCCATTACTTTTTTATGTCTAACAGATGGAAGTACTCTAACACCAACTCACCTTGGCACTGGGGATTCGTTGGTGCTTACCAAAATGGGGGATACATTTTCACCTTATCAAAATCAAAACCTGAAACCAAAAACAAGTTTATTGACCTTCGACTGAACAGCTGGATCACAAGAGGGACCAGGGTTATTTTTATTGACTTTTCATTATACAATGCTAATGTAAATCTGTTTTGCATTGTTAGGTAAGTGACTCAGAACCTCTGTATTGGTATATTGTTTTTGGTTTTTGTTTTGGTACCAGGGATCAAACTCGGGTCCTTGCGCTTGTGCAGCAGGCGGTGAAACCACTGAGCTAAATCCCCAGCCCTGTATTAGTATATTGAATTTAAAACTCATCCAGAGACCTTACTGAGGTTTCCAATTTGTGCATGGCTGTGCTGATATTAAAAGCATAAACTTTAAAATAAATATAATGAAAAAAATAAAATAAATATAACGTAGCTCTTAAATATAATGTAGTTCTGTCAATAATGAAAAAGGGGCTGGGGATGGAGCTCAGTGGCCACAGACATCAGTGGCTGTGCCTACCATGCACAGGCCCTGGGTTCAATCTCCAGTATCACAAATAATAATGATGATGATGAAAAAGAAGGTAAAGCAACATCACATTCATTGTTTAATTAATTCAGAATATATTTAGGAACATAGAGAATTACAGTGTTAATTTTATATTACTTATTTGTGTGTGTGTGTGTGTGTGTGTGTGTGGTACTGGGGATCAAACTCAGGACGTTGCCCTTATGAGGCAGGCGCAGTGCCACTGGGCTAAATCCCCAACCTAGTCCTTTTTTTCTTATGGTACTAGGGATTGAACCCAGGACTTTCACACTGAGCTGTATCCTCAGCCACCCTTCCCCCCACCTTTTGGTACCAGGGATTGAACTCAGGACCTTGTGCTTTCGAGGCAGGCGTTGGAACCACTGAGCTAAATCCCCAGCCCCCCTCAGCCCTTTTTTATTTTTTATTTTGAAACAGGATCTTTCTAAGTTGCCACCCATGCTGGGTTCAAGCTTGTGATATCCTCAATATCCCAGAGTTCTTGGATTACATGTGTGCACCGCTGTTCTTAGTCTAACAGTTCTTTTATTTTTTTTATTCCAGTACCAATAAATCTTTAGGTAGGAATAACTGCATTGTAATATTGCAATAGAAATGCTGGTTTCTTAAATTACCACCAATTCTTTAATAGTTCACATTACAGAGAACACCAAAAATACAGTGAACAACTTCAAAATCTTTTTATATTTAGTGTTGGAATTAATTTTTATACCCCTTGCTGGGCTCGATGGCACACACCTGTAATCCTAGCACTCAAAGGCTGAGGCAGGAGGACCACTGTGAATTTGAGGCCAGCCTTGGCCTTCAAGACCAACCTGGACTACATAGTGAGATCCTGTCTCAAAAAAACCTTATACTTCCATTTGCATGGATCATTGTATACAACATTTAATACCTAAAATAAACAGAAAATATTGATTTTAGTAGAATATGTAACCTTGATATATAGAAGCAAGAAGTATCTCTGATAAGATAATGGTGGAGAATGTAATTATCTCCTTTGAAATATTCAAAAATAATGTATTTTGAAGACAGACCAAATTAATAACAGCAACTGCTACAGTATAGCATTTTCCTGAACAACACCTCATTCTCCTATGAAGATAAATTAGTGTTTCCATTTCTGAATGAGTAATCTGAACAAAAAATAGAATGAATATCTGGCTAACATCACATCTTTCTCATTTATGTTGCTTCACCTCTGAATATTCTAAGTATAGAAAAAGGAGCAAATAAAAAATAAGCACATCTACTTGAAAATTTTTTAATTGAACCTGTGATCCAAGGAAACATATTTTGTACAAAATAATTTTTTTGTTTCTTTACTTTTTTCTACAAAATAAATTGTCATTAAAGTATACATTGTCATTAATTAGAAATTTCACATTGAATTAAATCCTAAAGTATAAATACATGAGATGCAAAGATATTTTCACAAATCTAATTTTACAGATTGGTAGCAGAATTCCCTGCAACTGGAGGAATACTTACTTCATGGCAGTTTAACTCTCTGAAACTCCTCAGATATGTTAGTTACTATGATTATTTTATTGCTTCCTGTGAAATCACATTTTGTATTTTTCTTGTTGTCTTCACAATACAAGAACTCAAAAAAGTAAAAGAATTTAAGTTCGCCTATTTCAAAAGTATTTGGAACTGGTTAGAATTACTACTTCTGCTGGTGAGTATACATTCATGTGTATAGGTGAAGGGGATCACATCTGAACCCACCAATGAGGGAAGTGTAAAAAACAGAATTTTCTATTCATCCTACCCTTATTTTGAAAGCTACAAACATATGAAACATAAAACGAACTGTCATTGTACACACTAATGATGTTATGCTACAATGGAGAAATCTGTTTTTTTCTGATTGAGTCCTTGGCAAGGCTAGCGTAGACCTAGAGGAATATGTGATTACATAAATATTGTGACAATACACACATCATGTCTCCTTACCACATTCGGTAAAAGGTATTCCTGCCAGACTCTGATGAGCGCTTGTAGTCCCAGCTACTTTGGAACCCTGGGGCAGGAAGATTGCTTAAGTCCAGGACTGGGCAACATAGAAAGAGATGGAGAGGAGGTGGGGCGAGTGAGGGTGGGGTGATGGTGGGAGAAGAGAGGGATTGGGGAGAGAGAGAATGAGAGAAAGAAACAGCAAAATGAAAAAAAAAATGTATTCCTCACAGGGTCTCATATTTCACCAATCATGAATCTTTCTGAACAAGTTTCTTAAAAATGTACTCTTCAGTGTTGCCTAAATGCTCTTTCCTCCTCACACCAATTGGGAAACAGGCAAAAGACAAGAATAATCAAAAACTGAAGGTGGGGAGGGGGCTTGAACACCCAGAGGGTACCTCGGGAGGACAGAGCACCAGGATTAGGGAAATAGCTCCTGAAAGAAACACCAAAGACTGCCAGTTCTAGTTCCTGGAATGTCTAAAACATGGAGATGTGGGCAGGGCAAGCCAAATGTTGTAAGCTTGGTCTTAGAAATAGTCAAGGAACAAATGTTTCTGGCTTATACAAATTTATCTTTCACTTTCATTGGCCCTTAGTTATAACTAACCCAGTACTTAATCCTTGTTTCCCAAAAGCAGATTGACAGTTTCTCAGAGTCCAAAAGTTTGTCACCTACCTCTCCAGGATCCCTAATAATGCCTAAATGTTCTATGAATGCTCTAGGTAAGGAAACTCAAAAATTTGTTGACAGTTATGAAGCTCTGATACCTAAAATAACCTGGGTTATTTAAAAGATATTTCTAAAAGGATTTATATTTTATAATTTTTTTCTTACATTGTTACCTGGTAGAAAATATTAAACTTTTAAGTATCATGTAGAGCAGAAACTCTTACAGCCTAGGCAATGTGACATAAACATTTTATGTGTTTTCACTTTATGACTCAAGGAGGTAAACAGATAATTAGGATAGCCACAGAATTAATGTCTCCACCTTTATGAGAATTATGTTACTTTAAGCTTCTGTAAGTTGAGGGCTACTTCTATTTGTCCTATCTTTCCCTCCCTCTTTATTAAACTTTTAATGAATGTTTTCTTGTGTTTCTTTACAGGCTGCAAGAGATTTAGAGGTAGAAATAGTTTCTAATTTAACCCTTCTTGTTTTCCCATTTAGTTGTGTTTTGTGACTGTTTTCTTCTACACATACTGTAATATACAAAATTTTCTCCTACTTGGACAGCTGTTAAAAAGTACTGAAAAATATTCAGACTTCTATTTTCTTGCATACTGGCACATTTATTACAATAATATAATTGCTATTACTATCTTCTTTGCATGGATAAAGGTATTTATGTCTTCTTATATCACACGTTAACAATAGCCTACAAGTATAATAGGAATTTAAAGTTATGGTTTAAAAAACTTCTCAACTGTTGAGTAATTTTAAAAGTAGTTTGGCTTTGTAATGATTGCTTCTAAATCCTCAAACATCCTTGGTTATCATTAGATTCCTCCTTTAATTTGAAACAGGATTTTTCTGAAATTAACTTATTCTAAGTAATTCTAATCTTTGATATAAGCAACTATAATCTTTGATATTCTATTTCATTATTTAAATTTGTTCTTTTTCAGATATTCAAATTCATAAGCTTTAATAAGACAGTGTCTCAGCTGTCATCAACCTTGTCCTGCTGTATCAAAGACATAATAGAATTTGCCATCATGTTTTTTATAATATTCTTTGCTTATGCCCAGTTAGGATTTCTTGTTTTTGGATCGCAAGTTGATGACTTTTCCACTTTTCAAAATGCCATGTAAGCTCTTAGTATAAGTAATTAGTGTAATTATATTTTCTAACAAAAAAAATCATGAAAGGGCTACAATAAGTGGTAATGTAAGTTTTAATTAAGCTAGTTTCTATATTTTCATTAAAGACAAAATATATCATACTCAAAGTAAGATTTGGCACTAATGGATCCAAAAGGATGGTGGTAAACACCCCCACCTCCAACTTTGGTACTGGGGATTGAACCCAGAGCTTCTGTACTGAGCTATATCCTCAGCCCTTTGTATTTTATTATTATTATTAAATTTTGAGACAGGATCTTACTAACTGCCTGGGCTTGAACTTTTAATACTCCTGCCTCAGCCTTCCAGCGTGCTGGGATTACAGGTGTGCACCACTACACCTGGTTGCTGGTATTCATTTTTTAAAGCGTTATTAGGTGAAGTTAGAGAAAAATATATTTTTATTTTGGATTAGCTGATTTTTTGTTTTGTTTTGTTTTGTTTTTGTTTTGTACCAGGGATTGAACTCCGGTCCTTGTGGCGAAACCACTGAGCTAAATCCCTGGCATGGATTAGCTGATTTTTTAAAAATTATTGGTCGAGGTAGTTTTTAGTTTTTCAGTTTTGTTTTGGGTTTTTTTTCCCTTTTAGCACTTCGGACATTCTGGCCTCCAAAGTTTCGGTTGAGAAAAATGCTGATAATCTTATTATTTCATGTATGTGATGAGTTGCTTCTCTGTTGCTGTCAAGATTGTCTTCATTGTTCCACAGTTCGTCTGTAATGTGTTTTGGTGTGGGTCTCTTTGAGTTGGATGTTTCGTCTTTCATCAGACTTGGGGAGATTTTTTTTCCCCTCTTTCCCAGAGTCCCTCTATTTACTAAGGATTTATTAGAGAAGCCCCACATGGGGTTTAGTTCCCAGGAGGCCATCTTTGCTCTCCTTGGCCCCACTCGCCCCACAATGAACCAAGGGAATGTTGGGAACACAGGCGTGCATACCCGGAAGAGGCCAGGTAAACTATGCCTTGTTTAATGTATCCATTATACATAAGGGCATCCTGCCGCAGAGCGCTTTCACACTCAATCCTACATTAGGTCCTGAGCAGACTTCTAACTTGCAGCACCAGAGCTCTGACAAACCAGGAGACATTGAGAAAGGCAGGATTTTGACGTGCCGGGTAAATCATTTCATCCGAAACAGTCACATGTCATCCCCCAGCAAGTCCTCAGGGGCCTGCAGCTGTTTGCTTTGTGGAGTGGAAGTTTGGGCTTTTTCCCTCCTTGGATTTCTCCTCGCTGCTGCCACCACTTCGCTCGTGTGTGTGTGTGTGTGTGTGTGTGTGTGTGTGTGTGTGTGTGTGTAAACTTGGGAAGATTTTAGTCATTATTCAAATAATCTTTATCCTTTTCTTTTTCTTCCTTTGGAACCCCTACTGTGTATCTTTTTCTTTGTTTCTCAGACTCAATAATTTCAATCATCCTGTTTTCAAGTTCATTGATTTCTTCTGCTTGCTCAAACCTGCCTTTGAATCCTTCAAATGAATTTTTCATTTTTTACTGTATTTTTCAGCTCTAGAATTTCTTTCTTTTTAGGTTTTTCTCATTGGTATTTCCTTTTTTTAACTTTATCAACATCTTCCTTCAGTTCTTCAAACATCTTTAAGATAGTTACTTTAGGGCCAGGGATTTAGCTCAGTGGTTTCCCCACCTGCTGCACAAGCGCAAGGACCCAAGTTTGGTCCCAGGTACCCCTCACCAAAAAAATTTCTTCCTGGCTTTGCCTTTAATATGAGCATAATAGAATATGAGCATACATACATACATATTGATATTCCTGGATTATCTGGTAATGCCATTGCAAATTGAGAAAATGAGATTTCAAGTTAGGAAAACCTAATTCTATTTCTGCTACCATTATGCTATTTAAAGCCTTAATGTAATATCTTCATTTTCATCTTAAAATTAGAAAAACAAATGTTTGTAATGGTATTTAATATCAAAGCTAAGCTTTTCTAGTTATTAAGGCAGTCAAAATAAAACTCAGACCCATGGTGAGAATCATTATCAGCACTTGAGACTATAGAGTGAAAAACTGTTGGAATCTTTAACAGAAATTGAAATCATTAGGACCAAAATTAAACACATCATCAACATTAAAAAGTTTAGGGCTCTTGGGTCTAGGTATAAGTTGAAAAAAATCACTTCTTGGACGAAGTCGAATTGTTTGAAGTTTTAGAAGAGTACTAGAACGGCCAAGGAATGCAATGCTAAAAATAGCTTGTAAACAGATATCTCAAGGTTTAAATCTTACAGGTGAACAATGAATTCATATTGGTGAAATAAATTGAAGCCTATCATCTCCTAAAATACCTGTTTAACTATTGAGGTATCTCAAGTCTTGCCTTTAGGAGAATTCTCTACATTCAGCTTTACAAAACTCTGGAGTAATGTAACTCCAGCCAGAGAGTATATGGCATATGCAACTAGACACTATCCTGGAGATGCTAGTAACCCCCTTCAATTGTCATGAATGTGCATGAAAGGATTTAATATTTACTAATGTGTTTTCTTCTCATCAAAGATTTGCACAATTTCAAATTGTTCTTGGAGATTTTAATTTTGCTGGTATTCACCAAGCCAGTTGGAACTTGGGACCCATTTACTTCATCACTTTTACCTTTTTTGTGTTCTTTGTCTTGCTGGTAAGAATAACCATTTATTTTCTTCCCCTTTTTGCTTACAATTTTTAGAAAAATGAAATTAGAAGAAATTGCAGCATCACTGCTTTCCTAATAGGACATTTGACATCAAGAATGTCATCGATTCCTAATAATCATATTCTCCAGTCCAGTGACCACTGTTTTCAAGTTGTCCAATGGGGAATGTGGTCATATTTAACATCGAGGTATTTATTTTAGCCAGGATAAATCCTTTACACTAATAACTTGAATGTCCTAGTTATCTCTAGGCTGGGATTACTTGTAATAGGAAGATTCCGCTATTAAAATATTCTGCCCAGCTGGGCATAGTGGCACATGCCTGCATTACTAGCACTCAGGAGGTTGAGGCAGGAGGACCACTGCGAGTTTGAGGCCAGCCTGCACTATATAGTGAGTACAAGACCCTGTTTCAAAAAAAAAAACACTCCAAAAAAACAACAAAAAACTGGCCATTTTGTAATGACTTTGGGGCCCTATGACTAAAAACTCACTTCTTTGTGATTTTTAGGAATCACTAGATGGGTCTCTCAGAAGTGCTCAGAACAAGTTTGTTTGGGGGGGGGGGTCCTTTTGAGACAGGGTCTCCATATGTATTTCACAGTGCCCTTGAACTATGTAGCCCAGTCTCCTGAGTGCTGGAATTATAGGCATGCCCCACCACGTTCAGTTTATTTGGGCTTTCTAATCAAGGTACTGTTATTGCCCTCCATGAAAAACACTTAGTGATGTACAGTCCTCTCCCCCTGATAGCCAAGAGTCTACAGGGTAACAGAGTGCTCTAGCCTTTAAGGCAGAAAGGTGGGCTGGGAGCAAGAATATTGTCTCTACATTTGTGTCATCTGGGGATTAGTAGTTGTAGGTACCTTAGTACAGTTTTACTTCATAGAACTAAAAAACTTCCCAAGAGATGGAGGGAGGCAGGAAGGAGACATAAAAAGAATTAATATGTGTTATGTATCCATACCAACTCGTGATGAATGTAATCATGTACTGCAAACATGTACCAATAAAAATAAAAATTTTTAAAAACTCTTCATAGATCTTACCCTTATGAGCCTATAGTTATTTTTTCTGATACATGATATTGATAAATGTATTAGTAACCAGTTAATATACATTATAGCACATTCTGCCTTTCTCATTTACCATAAACATATTTGCCCATATGCATGCACTTTACATTTTCCATTCTACTCTGTTGTATCTGCATGGCCATTTACCTATGACTGAACATAGGGATTACTTTTTAAATTTAAATCGTATTTTACAAATCCCAACACTTTTTAAAGTCACTAACCTTTTTGTTTTTAAGATGGGAATCTCACTACATTACCCAAGCTGACCTGGAACTCCTGGGCTCAAGTAATCTTCCCACCTCAGCCCCCACGTAGCTGGGACTTTGGCACACATCACCGCTCCCAACTTGAAGATCAGTAACACCTAAACTAACTTCTAATTAAAATATTTGAGTATTTCTCCACAGAACATGTTCTTGACAATAATTAACAATACCTATTCTGAAGTGAAAGCTGATTATGCAATAAGAAAAAGGCCAGATTTTGAAATTGGTAAAATGATTAAGATGGTATGTAAAATTATCTTCCAAACTGTAATTCTAAGACAAAACTTACTCAGTTTTTACTCTTGTAGGTCAAATAACACTTAAACCCCAAGTGGTGGTTTTTTCACCCCAAGGGTTTGTTTTTTGGCCCAGTATTACTCATATTTATATTATTTTATTACTAGGTAAGTGAAGTATGCTCTCTGGCTTTAAAAATGTAGCTGAAATTATTTAAGTCCCATATATCAAACAGTATTGATTTATTAAATGCAAAGCATTGTTGGGACTATTCATCCCTCCCCAAATTTTCAGCTTAGATGCTGGTGTCTGTAACAGTGTGAACTGAGAACTCCGCGTACCTTGTCTTCTTCACTTTCCTGTTTTTGTTAAAGACAGTATTCTCCTCAGTCACTACTGGCTCAAAAGCCCTGCAAAGACTTTATTCCTTTGTCTCAACAGACTGTTGTCAAGGCTTGTGTGTAGTTTCTCTCTCCAGATCTTGTTCACACTTGTAGAATCTGAGGTCCCTTTGAATTCTGCCACCAATAGCTTAGGGTTTTCAGTGCTTCCCCCAGCCTTCTGTGTGGTAACTTCTGTGCCAGCCTCTTCCCCAGGCCATTCCAACTCATCCTGTCAGTTTCCCTGGGCCGGTCAAAATAAGTCCAAATTCTCTATTCAAATATTCCAAGCCCTCTTCAGGTCTCTCAGTCCCAAGCCACCTTTATTAACTATTCTTTAACTATAGTGTTTCTACCCTTTCTGCATTTATTGTACCATATGCCCCAGATTACGTTTTGAACAGTTTGTATACAATTTTACAATGCTTAGGCCTTTGCTCATTGTCATTACCCAAACCCTTAATTTTTTATTTTTAAATTATTATTTTTTAAATTATTTTTTTGGTGGTACTAGGGATTGGACCCAGGGCTTTTGCACTGAGTTACATCTTTAGCCCTTTTTTATTATTTTGAGACACAGTCTCACTACATTGTCCAGGCTGGGCTCAAATATGTGATCCTCCCACCTTATCCTCCTGGAGTGCTAGGATTACAGGTGGCACTAACACAACTGGCTTAAAAGTATTGACATCCTTAAAACAGTACATGTTAATACTTTTTTTTTTATAACCATCTAGTTTATTTTATTATTATTATCATTATTATTATTTTTGTACCGGGGATCAAACTCAGGGCCTTGTGCTTGCCAGGCAGGCAGCAGCACCACTGAGCTAAATCCCCGGCCCCACATGTTAATACTTTTTAAAGATCTTGGTTTTTTCACAAGTTCAATTGTGATGCCCCCAGAGAATTCCTTTAGCTTTTCCTCTAAGGAAGAAACCAAGGGTGGTGGCAAGGAGAAGGGAAAATCATGGCATTTTTGCCTCCATATTTTAGTACAGCAGTCCCTAGAGACAAATATTTCATATTTCATTTTATCTTAATGAAACAATATGGGATATATTTTTGATAAATTTTCAAACTTTTAAATTATGCCTAGACTTGCCATAATACTCTTGAGAAACTCAAACTGAAGAAAACTAAAAAAGACAAGAAAATGTAAGATGACTTTTAAAACTTTTTAAACTTAAAGATCTATACAGCTACTTCTCAACTTATGATGGGTTATGTCCTGCTGAACCCAATATAAATTGAAAAGTGTTAAGTTGAAAATATTTTAAGTCAAAAATAAATTCAGTACACCTACCAAACATCCGTTTAGCCTAAGCTACATTAAACAGGTTCAGTTGGACAAAAATAATTTAACACAAAGTTTTAAGTACTGAACATTTCACCCAATTTTTAAAATACCTGTTGCCGGGGATTTAGCTCAGTGGTTTCACTACCTGCTGCGCAAGCACAAGGACCCAAGTTCGATCCCCAGTACCAAAAAAAACCCAAATAAAATACCTGTAGCCAAAAGCCAGGGCAACATGGCACACTGTAGAGTAGCAGTTGGTTCCCTTCATGATCTCATGGCTGGCTGGGAGCTGCTGCTGCTCATCATGGAGTATCTTGCCACATGCAGTGAGCCGGGGAAAAGATCAAAATTCAAAATTGGAAGTATGGTTTCTACTGGGAGCGTATCACTTTTGCATCATCAATTTTAAAAAATCTGAAGTAGAACCAGGGTTAAGTCAGGAACTGTCAGAAACTGACAGTAAGAGTCAGGCTTCTTGCTGGGGATTTAGCTCAGTGGTTCCGCTGCCTGCCTCGCAAGCGCAAGGTCCTGAGTTTGATTCCCGGTACCAAGAAAAAAAAAAGTCAGGCTTCTGGTTACAAAACAGCCACCACCCAATGTGGTGATTCTGAATCCCCTGCCATTGTACCCAATATTGCCTCCTAATTCTGAGGATATCTTGAAACTCTAAGCTAACTTAAAATTAATGTGAGACTAGGATATGGCTCGCCGGCAGAACACTAGCCTAGTATGCGTGAGGCCCTGGGTTTGATCCTTAGTACTACTAAAAAAATTACTAATACAATCTATGCCATGCTACTCAGAAAAAAGCTTTAAAGGAAGCTGGGTGAAAAAAAGAACACAACTTTAGCCTTTTTAATGATTCATAATTTCAATTTAATTTTTATTTTATTTGCTTGAGATAGGGTCTCACTATGTAGTTCAGTCTGGCCATGAACTCACTATGTAATCCAGGGTGGCCTTGAACTCAGAGCAATCCTCCAGCCTCAGCCTCCTGAGTGCTGGGATCACAGGCGTGTACCACCACACCTGGCCAACAACTTTACTCTTCATTAAGTGCATTTATTTAGCTATCAAAATATCTTACACACAATACTTACATTTAATATTTACACTTACACTTAGCATTATACTTACATTTATTGAATAATTTGTCAAAATACTTTCCAAACTCAAACCTCTTGTAAAAATGTAGGGTTTTTTTCTTGAGACAGGGTGTCACTATGCTGTAGTTCAGGCTGGCCTTCAACTCACTAGATAGCCCAGGCTGGCCTCAAACTCAGATGATCATCCTGCCTCAGCCTCCCTACTGCTGGGATTACAGGTGTGCACCACCACACCAGCAAAAAATGTAAAATTTTTTGAGCTAAAGATATATGATGCTTTGAACCTACTAATGATCACCTTTTCCAAATAATTGGCATTTATTAACAGAGAATGGAAATATAATTTAGAACCTTGCTAGAGATCAGACTGTATTTTATGGTGGCACTTCCCTTTTTTACTTTCCTATTCCTCTGATTTTTATATTTCAGCAGCAAAAGCAACAGACATTTGGTTGAACAAACCAGAAGAGGAGGCTTTGATGAAAATGTAAGACTTTAACTTTTTCATAAACCCAAGTGGTAGTTTTAGTAGAAATCTGCTTTTTAAAGGTTTTGATCAAAAATTAAAGTAATTTGCTTTATTCAGAGTACTCTGCTTGGGCACTTCCACAGACATCTCCCAGATCTGAGTCTCTTCCTCATGTAGAAGGAAGCATCTGGATTCCAGGGGCTTCCCTGCTCCCTTGGGTGCTCTCAGGCAGACCCTGGTCCTTGCAGGCACCCTCACATGGTTGGACTCCCACAGTGGAGCTGGGCTCTACTGAGAGGATCACATCATTTTTCTCTCATATTCAATGTGATGAATTTTTATATTTCAAAAGTTATATATATTCAGCATAAAATTTAAGGAATACACATGTGGAATGTAAGAAATGGATACCCCAACACTCAATTCAAAAGAAAAAACAACACTGCTTTGGTTTTTGGTCACCTCTCTAATTAAAAAAAAATGCTCAGCCAGACAGTAGAGTTGGGAGCCTGCAATAAGCAAGCAAATAAATACTGTAATGAGGTTTTGACTGCAAAGTTACAAAAATGGGAGGCTGAAGATTAAAAATCAACTTTGTGGTGTTAGATGAGAACAGTGTATGTGTGTTCCAGGCCTCCTTGAAGATGTTGATAATTCCAGGATACGTACAAGGTGAGTCTGGGCATCTTGTTGAACCAGACAAACTATTCAAAGAAAGATGGAAACCTGTTAAAGGACACAAGAGTCCACTAGAGGGGCTCCAACTAGCCACATTTGAGATTTCTAACCTACTGAATAAGATTTCGCGAACTTGTACTGATTTAAACATACAAATGAGTAGTAGAAGTCTAGGAGGAATGAGATATTTACTTACATCTCCACAAAATAGTTAATTACAAAAAGAAAATCAGTAATGTTAGGGTAAAGTCAGACTGCCAGCACCTTAACTACTGAAAGTGAGTACATGAGGACTAGAACAAATTTAAATCCTATGCCCCCTGAGAACACACCGTGGAGTCAACAGACCTTCTGTGACATCCCTAAGACACAAAACTAAACAGAAGGACATTCTACAAAATAACCAGTCTGTATTCTTTAAAACTGTCAATGTCATAAAAGCAAAGTAAAACAGAAGAACTATTCCAGATTGAAATTAAAATGACAAGTAAATACAATACACAATCCTTAACTAGATGCTTTCCTTTAACGGCATCATTGGGACAACCAGAAAACTTGAGACACTGTGGATTATATGGAAATAATCTATTAGTATTAATTTTCTGATTGTGATTATAAAACAATGTGTAGGAAATATATATTGCAGTATTCAGGAATGATGGAGCATTCATATTGGCAACTTACTCTAAAAAACTTCAGGGAAAAGCAGTTGTTCTGGCAACTTTTCCCTTAGTCTGAGAGTCTCTTTTTGGCGGGGGG